CATTTATTGTAATATGTATCTTGAAAAATTGCAAATAGTGGAAAGTGAGTTGGGAGCGGGTGAGAAAATTGAAATCGGTATTGATATTGATGATTATGTAACCACGAATAAATCATTTACCAAACCTCATGATTCGAGGACAATATGTCGAATCATATTAAAGGGGGACAGAAAGATACAATATAGGTTATGGAGGCAAAACAAGTCAAAACGAGAAAATGTCCAGTTATGAAAATTTATAGACTATTTGAGCTTTTAATTAAAATATGGTCTGAAATACTTGCTAAATTAATTAAAATAGATTTGAGCTGGTTTAGAGTTCATTTTGGGCCTACATATATACATGGAAAATTTTATGGAGCAATGACATCGTTGGGCTTGTTTTGGCAATTTTGAAGTTTTTGGGCTTTTAGCTCAAAACTCAGTTTGAGGTCCATATATTTAGGTTGGACAGCCCATTTGGGTTTATTTTGAATCACTAGAACTTGAAGAGATAAGAAGGTAGAAGATGAAGAGTCAAAGGAGTTATGAAAGTTGAAGAGCTATCCACTTTATGGCTTTAATTACTATTTTAATTTTTAATTACTTACTTTGTACACCCCTACTCTATATAAAGGGATTAGCTTTCTTTGTTTTGAGATATAGAATTTTGGATAATTTTAGATTATTGAAAGTGAGGTTTTGTCTTCTTTTATCTTTATGCATAAGGTGTTGTTTGCTTCTTTTATCTTTATGCATAAGGTGTTGTTTGGATTGTAATTGATTTGTTTAATTACTATTCAGATTCAATTCCTATTTCTTATGTTTTTGAAAATCTAATTTAAATTGGGTTTAAAGGGGATATTATGGGATTTTCTCTTTAAGTTCTTTGGAGTTGAATTCTTAGGTATAAGAACAAATCAAAATCATGATTGCTTGGGGTTAATTCTACTAGTTCAAATTGGTGGAGAGTTCTAAGTTCCATGTTGATCTTAGAGTTCCGTATGAATTGGTATCAGAGCGAGTGAGGAAATTTAATTATGAATTTTCCATTTATTGTAATGTGTATCTTGAAAAATCGCAAATAGTGGAATGTGAGTCGGGAGCAGGTGAGGAAATTGAAATCGATATCAATATTGATGATTATGTGACCACGAATAAATTATTTACCAAACCTCATGATTCGAGGACGAATTATATTGAAAGGGGAGGGAATGATACAATACAGGTTATGGAGGCAACACGAGTCAAAATGAGAAAATGTCCGGGTATGAAAATTTATAGATTATATAGGCTTTTAATTAAAATATGGCTAAAATACTTTCTAAATTATTTAAAATATATTTGAGCTAGTTTAGAGTTCATTTTGGGCTTATATTTATAGATGGAAAATTTTATGGAGTAATGACATCATTAGGCCCGTTTTGGCAATCTTGAAGTTTTGCGGCTTTTAGCTCAAAACTCATTTTGGGGTCGTATATTTGGGTTGGACACTGCATTTGGCTTATTTTGGATCACTAGAACTTAAAGAGACAAGAAGGTAGAAGATGAAGAGTTAAAGGAGTTATGGAAGTTGAAGAGCTATCCACTTTATGGCTTTAATTATTGTTTTAATTTTTATTTACTTACTTTGTACACCCCTACTCTATATTAACACCCCTACTCTATATAAAGGATTAGCTTTCTTTGTTTTGGAGATTGAATTTTGGATTAATGTTCAGGAGACAAGAAGGTAGAAGATGAAGAGTTAAAGGAGTTATGGAAGTTGAAGAGCTATCCACTTTATGGCTTTAATTATTGTTTTAATTTTTATTTACTTACTTTGTACACCCCTACTCTATATAAAGGGATTAGCTTTCTTTGTTTTGGAAGATTGAATTTTGGATAATTTCAGATTAATAAAAGTGAGGTTTTGCCTTCTTTTGTCTTTATGCATAAGGTATTGTTTGGATTGTAATTGGTTTGTTCAATTGCTATTCAGATTCAATTCCTATTTCTCATGTTTTTAAACATCTAATTCAAAGTGGGTTTAAAGGGATATCTTGGGATTTTCTCTTTAAGTTCCTTTGAGTTGAGTTCTTAGATATAAGAACAAATCAAAATCATGATTGCTTGGGGTTAATTCTGCTGGTTCAAATTGGTGGAGAATTCTAAGTTTCATGTTGATCTTTGGATTCCGTATCACATAGTATTACCATTGTCAATATGAATGATAATTTTATGGTTCAAGGAAGGTTTAGACATCGTTGCACAATAAATGACAATTTTGCATTATTATCAAGTGGAATTATTCTACACTGTAATTGATATGCAACTTCAAGAGCTTAAACTATCGCTGTAACTTGCTCTTTATATAGCATGCTTGAATCCAAGTGACTCTTTCCAAGCTTTTAATAAGCAAAAATTGATTCAGCTTGTTGAATTTTATCCTTTTGATTTTTCTAAAGTAGAGCTTGTTGTTACTCTTGGCAATCAACTTGAAAATTATGTTGTTAATATGAGATCTGATGATCAATGTTCAAATCTAAGAGGGATTAGTGATCTTGGCGAAAAATTGGTTGAATCAAAAAAAGATGTTATGTATCCTTTGGTGTTTTTACTTGTGAAATTAGTTTTGATTTTGCCAATTGCTACTACTTCAGTTGAAAGAGTATTCTCAGCAATGAAAATAGTGAAAAATCAATTACATAATCGAATGAGAGATTCTTGGTTGAATGATTGCTTAATCACATATGTTGAGAAAGGTATCTTCAATAGTATTGACAATGAGAAAATTTTACAATGATATCAGAATATGAAGACTCGTAGAGAACAATTGTGATAGATTGCTCATAAGAAGAATTCGATAATAATATTTTTTTATTTTGATTCATGTTCTAAAGTTCTTCAAGTAAGAATGAATGGTATGATGGATTAATCTTTTTTGCTTCCATGTATGTTTTGTTATTTTATTTATCGAGAATATAAATATTATAAAGGTATTATGGCTTCTTTTTTTGCTTCCATCTATGTTTTGTTTGTTTTTTTTATGGAGAATATAAATATTATAAAGGTATTATGGTTTCTCAATAATATAAGAAAATTTTGAACTATCTAATAAATATCAATGTCTATTTATTGGTTGTTGTTTATGTGTTTCATATTAGTCTTTTTCTATATGTTGAATTGTATATTGTATGATTTATTTCCTTATAGACTTGCACAGTTGCACTATTATTGTTATTTAATCGATGTGTGTGCACAAGTCAAAATGGTATGAGGCTTCAAAATATATAAGGTACATCTTTGTTTTGTATTCAAATGACTTATAAATTAGTTTTATATTATTTTTACTCAATAGTTTTAATTTTTACTATTGTGATTAGTAATCTATGGATAGATGGTTCTATTGTTAAAAAAATAAAATAAAATACAAAAGTTGAAAGTTTGCCCCCTTAATGTAAAATCCTGGATTCGCCCCTGTCCATCACCATCTGGTGTAAGCCCAAAAACAGAAAAAAAAGAGTTGCTAACACTCTGCGAAAATTGCAAGCGGTCAAATTCAAGATCAAATTGCTGAAAAATAAATCTCTTTACACAATTCCATAAAAGGTATTTAGATCCGTTACTCAGATTGATTCGATCAAGATCTAGATATAATGACTGCTTTTGATTCGTTGGTTTGACAGTGAAGCCTGTAATAGGAAGTTGTATTGCACTGGGCGGCTTCAGATATTGATACTCGCTGAAAATTGCTCAACTAGACGATACTTATAAACGCTTTAACTCTAAATTTTTGAACTTTAGATGTTAGTACGCTTTACCTTCAGATGTTGACAGACACATTGCCAACAAGATTTTCACACTTGACGATTTAGAAGACTCGATGCCTCCAGAACAGTTTTAACTCTAGATGAGTCGTGCGAATTGGAGCTCAAGTCATTGAAATTGTATGAGAACATACTCAAAATCATGTGAGCAGAGAATAAAGCCAAGTTATTTTAGTTGATTTCAAAAAACAGAATCTCTAGGAAAATGCCTATGGAGATTGGTTTTCTATGAATTTTGATTAATTTTTTTGCAAGTAATAATATGTTCACTAATTCAATTCCATCAAGTTTTATTAATTTAAATTTGTTAAATAGGTTAGTTTTTAATGGAAATAAATTGTCTGGTGGATTCCTTCAAGGAATTGAAGGTTGGAAGAGCCTAAATGATCTTAATTTAGCAAATAATAAGTTTTATGGCATAATAAGGGCTATTGTTGTCATTTTGTGTCAATTCTCTCACTTCTTTCTTACTTTTTGACTCATTTTAATGGAAAAAATATGAAAAACATCGATGAAAGGACTAATTATTCTGACAAAGGTAAACTTCAGAAACTATTAATTAATAATGCCAAAATGCAGAAACGAATAAGTTAATTTGGTCAAATGTTAAAGGGGAAATAATTATTTTCCCATTACATATTTTGTAAATTAATATGTTAAAAGAAATTATATATTTATGGATTTTAAAGAAGTGTTGGAAAAAATGATCTGAATTTTTTTAATGCAGAACAAAAAGAGATAAAAATCAATCTTGATGAATTGAATCAACTCCTTGATTTGCAAAAATCAAATCAAGTTCAAGAGGTAAATTGATCTACAATATCAAATTTGACCCCTATAATATTCTAAATAAATTTTGGGATTAAATTGAGTTTTACTCATTTTTTCAAATATCGGGGACGAAATAATAATTTCAATCAAATCCGTCTCTAAAAAAATTCAATCAAATCCTATCATTTGCCTCTCTTTATATAAGAAATTAATATTACTTGAAGAGATTTTTATGATAGAATAAATAAATAAGAATATAAATAGACAGATAGATAGAATGGATTAAATAAATAAATTTCAATGGGGGCGTGTTTTAGCATTTCTCTGCTACCCAACATATAAAATATTATATTTTTCAAATAAATTGTAAAATATTATTTATTTTATAACGAGAATTGGAGAGTCGCAAATAGCAAATAGAGGGAGAGGTGACCCGCAGACCACAGTCTTATTTTATCTTGTGGTCTGCAAATTGCGTTGCGAGTTAAAGAATAGAATAAAGTGGGTGGCTGTCTGCTCTCCTTTTTTGAGTTTTCAATTTGAACCTCTGTCGTCGTAAACGGCGAGTTTCGGAAGATGGTTTTGTGTTGTGAGGAAACTGTGAGGAAGGAACACCCGACAATGACATAATAGACATTCATTTATTATAAAACGACATTTTTTCATCATTTCATGTCCATGCATGACCAAAGTTAGAAGAAGAGACAACAATATCATAATCGTATAGTGAAACGAAATGGGTGATGGATCCGTCACTTCTCGTCTGATCATATCTGATTTTGTAATATCTTTCATGTGGGTATGGTCAGGGGCTTTGATAAAGCTGTTTGTGAATCATGTTTTAGGACTTGCGCATCAACCCAGTGGTGAGGCCATCAATTATGCCCTCTCTGTTATTGTTATGTTCTTCTTCGCATTCTTGGGTAAGATCACCAAAGGAGGAGGTTACAATCCTCTCACCATTTTCTCTTCTGCAATTTCTGGGGATTTCAGTCAATTTCTCCTCACTGTTGGGGCTAGAATCCCTGCTCAGGTTCCTTTCTTCTTTTCAATTTTATTTTGCTTTATCTGTTTCTTTTCGTAACATAACTGAAGAAAAAGATTAATTCTTTGCTTTTTCCGATAATGGGTTCTGCTCCATTAGGACAATTTTTGTAGTTGTTGGCTACGTTTACAATTTTATGCTTATTAGAGAAAATCCAATATTTTATAGGCTGGAATATTAATGTCTTTAGCCAGCTTTAAAAAGGATTATTGGAGCTGTTTTGTTGATTTATCTACAGTTCTGTATAGAAAAGGGGTCCAGATATTACAGAATTATGACCGTTATTAATTGAGAAATTTGGAGGGTTTCATTTACACATTATTCTTGTAGCCTTTTTGAATTATGGCAAATGATTTTAACTTCACTAATATAAAATATTGCACATGAATTTGATAGACAAGTTATTAAAATTTTCTGTTGTGTGAAGGCTTTTTGACTTAATGGTGTGTTAACAGTTAGTAATGAGACAACACTTTTAGGCATGCATTTGTATGTTAATATATGAATTAATGGAGATCTTTCTTTTCTAGTTCCTACTGGTATTTATTTTGACATGGTGTGTTAAATCCCATCATAGCTGAGTAGTGGTGAGCCTAGTGGCTTGAGTGATCCTTGGAGGATTTATGGCTGCTACTTGAATAATTTGTAATGAGTGAGATCATGAGGTGGGTACTGTCATGGGGCAGTTTAGGGCAAAAATCATACTCCTTAGTGAAAAATTTATCCTCAAATTAAACACGGGATTAGAGTTAAAGACAAGCCTAGATCTTTTAAGTAAAGGCAAGGATCTATTGTGTCTGAAATAATATAGAGATCTTTTCATAGAAATGCTATGCTACACTGCATGTATTTGCCACTGCAGTTGCATGAGGTGAGCTCCACAATACAAGTGGGAGCCATCCTATGTGAGTGCTGGTGTATGATCTTCTCCAACTATTCTCAGATATCATCAACTATTAATTGTTTGAATTAATTGATTACCAGCGCATGCTTTGAGACCAAGTGCCTCATCACTGTTTTTTGAATTTCCGATGAACAGAAAGCTTGTTTATAGTGTTCTGCATATCAGAGTTTTTCCATTATATTGTGTATGCAGTTGCAGTTCATTTTGTGTAGTGATTGGTAAGATTCATTAATTAGTTGGTGAATGCTATTTGGTGTCTGTCTGTACCTCTCTCTTTTTTGAATTTTATCTCCTTCAAAAGTTTTGTTGCCCTTTGATCAGTTTCAATGTGTGGATTCATTGAGACACAGAAGAATAGAACCTTGGAAAAAATATTAGGATAGAGGATGGGGTAAAATTGCATGTGATACTTTCACATTATATCAACAAAAAGAATATTCTTATGTGTACTAATTGAAGTTTGTAATGAAAATATAACATTATCTAACTTGTAAAATTTACATTCCCTTCCACTTCTCTCCATTTTGGGAGGAAACCAGTGTTCTAATATCACTTTCAGGATTTTTTTAAGCTTTCCTTCCAAATCAAAGGTTAAATAATAGGCATGTAAATCAAACTACTGCAATATTGGGAACATCGCAGCTGTTAGAAGCTGAAATTCAAGTCATGTGCAATTAAATGAATTTTTGTTCTCTATTTAAATTGGATTTTTTTTTTTTTTAAATTCTTTTTCCTGTCTTTTTTCTATTTGGTTTATATCTTTTGTTTCTTCAATCATTAACCCACTTGCAACATCGAGTATGATTAATAAACAAATGGCTATAATGGCACTACTTATTTGGGTAGAGGACTAATGAGGCTAAAATTGTAAGGAAAAAAATCTATATATAGATATACCTTGCTAAAATTAAAAGATTGAATAAAATCATAAAAAAGGGTAACCTTTAGGATTTTTTTGGTCATTTTGCCTATTTTCAATAAGTGCTTTTGAAAACATGTTTGGTTAATAGCCACCAGAAATTTGATTGGAAGTTTCCTAGAATATATTTTTGGCACAGGGCAACATTTTTTATTCTACTGAATTATTGATTTTAGATAAACATGTGCTAAACTTTTATAGCCAAATATATGATGTGAATTTGGTTATATTGTTAAATTATGACCATTGAAGTTTACGAAATCATGAAGTTAGGAAGATAATGAAAGGGGTAGATGATGTTAGTAAAGGGTATAGTCGTATAATAATGGTAATGATATAATTGTTAGTGTCACTGGAGGTCATAGTAAAGGTTGCAATGGTGGCGGTGGTAGATGATAACAATAGTGATAATGACAGTTACGAAACAATTGTTGCTAGTTTAGAATGTTACGCAAATTTTTATGTTTGGTATTGTTTCTATCCTCCCCCTTTTCTTCTTTCCTTATCTTTGATTCCTTCCCTAGAATTTCCTCTCTCTAGTTTTTCTCTCTCTCCCCCATTATTAGTTTATTCTCGCAATTTTCCTTCTGTTTATGCTTCTACTGCATCACTTCCTTGTTACTAATGTTTTCACATCAATTATCATGAGACCAACCCCTTCATATTCACACTGCCAATCTGTCATCTCATACTAGTTGCTATATCTTTTGCCAACAACAAAACAAAATTAACCCCTGATCTTTAAATCTTCATTTGGACATTGTCATTTGTTGTCATTCGATGAATTTGCAAAGCTTATATACCAATAATTTCCAGTATCTTCCCAATCCCAAATTCAAGATAACAACCTTGCCACAGTTTTAATGCTTTCGTGTATGGAAAACATCTCAGCTACTTGTACCAGGGAACTTGAAAAGCTTTTGCAAGTTGACTTTTATGTGCAAAACTGATTTGAAATAAGCTCTTTTTACAAACTTTTGCATAGAGCTACTAAATTGATCATGTTGCTAAAATATCCTCAAAAATTTAAATTTGTGTTGTTTGGCCTCTAACATCAGCTATGTGCAATAACAATACCAAACAAGCTCTAAGATTTTGATTATGGTGATATGGCAGCCAATTGGGAAGTGATTTGGAATTCCACTTATTTTTTGATGTTTATTATGTTTCCAATTGATATTAAATAACTTGAATTTAAATTCTAAATAAAAGTAAGTAAAATTTGATATCTACTTCAAATCATCAAAACATTGAGGTTTTTTTCTTGAAAATTCTTGTTAGCTTGAATCTTCTTATAGTGAGCTTAAATATTATTACATTAATGAAAAGGAATGCTGAGTGGTATAGGCTACTGATTTCATACCATAACTTGGAAGGTAGTTCCAAAGGTATAGGCCAAATGTGGAAGGATGCACATGTGCCCTTGGAGTTTGGACTTGTCCGGGGAAGGGGTCTAATCTCGGCTAACATGAAAGTTGGCTCAAGGATACTCTTGTCCTTTTGAATAGAAAAAATTATTATGAATAATGTAATTAGTAAATCCACATTATTAGAGAGACATAGTAAATGATAGTCATAATTGTTCTCAATGTTAAGGCGTATGGCTTGATTATTTTAAAAGAAGGAACCATATTAGAAAACAAATGTGTGTATTTGGATTTTCTGGGCTCTTTGCCCTATTTCTGGTTTTATTACTTTCAATCTTTTATATATTTAGTCAATATCAACTTTAAGGTGCAATTAATTTTGACTTGCAATTTCCTCATTCAAATTGTTTGTTGATGAATTTTCATGTTCAGAATGTTAAGTATTAAGAGTGGATTTGATTTTAAATTTATAGCCTAACTTGTACCTATACCAGTTTGAAATTCTATAGCTTTATTAACTTGTACTACGTTTAAAATTTATGCTTTATCGATTTTGATAGAATTGGATTGAAGTATAACTAATGTCATAGAATTAAAAATATAAAATTCTAAACAAAATTTCCTTTTTGCCAAATATAGCAAATTTGGATTTGTGAACAATTCTATATCGGAATTTAGGGTAAATTACTATTTAGTCCCTGAGGTTTGATCAAATTCACTAACTCGTCCTTCTATTTTAGAGAACCAATTAAATAGTCCCCATGGTTTGTTTCTGTCCAACTAAAAGATCCTTCCATCCAAAAATAGACTTTTTTAACGTTAGTCTTGTGAAAAAAGTGGATTCAAAGGAAAGAGAAGAAAATATAAACCCCAAAATACCCTCAATAAATTATTGAATTCATCTCATTTACCCTTAATGGATCTCCACTATTTCTTAAACAATCAAAAAACAACAAAGATAATTAATTGCTTTTTCTTATACTCAATACATGCATTTTACACGTTCAAAAAATGAACCTAAAATAATGAAAAAGAACAAAATAACAAAGAAAAAAGAATAAGAAACAAACTTAAATTCTGTAACCAAAATACTGTTCAATTTTTACAAAGACTTACTCACCACCCAAACAAATCAAGAAAACCCATTAACAAGGATTTTGATCACACTCTCTTCTCTCTCTCTCTCTCTCTCTCTCTCTCTCTCTCTCCAAATCTAAAGAGCTCAAGAAAAAAAAAGAAAAAAAAAAAAGAGAAAGAACAGTTCCCTGATTTGCAGCAAAAAGGTGAGTCTTACATGGGGAAGAAGAGAGAGCAAAATTAAAAAAAATTTAATATAGTCCTTACACCTTTTTATTTTTATTTTAAAAAATGAAAAGAAAACCTTAGAAACTTCATGGTAAGCATTATTGTTGTTGAATCTGTTGATGATGATGCTAGGTGTGGAGATTGTTTTCGTTTTCATTTTTTTTTTTTTTTAATTTTTTATCTATGAATTCTATGATTTGGATTTGCTTGGTTTGATCGTGAAGTAGTAGATCTATCATGGATCTTTTCAATCTTTAGATTTTTTGAATTTTTTTGAGATTTGGATTTGGTTGTTTCAAGGTTTGCTTGGTGTATTATCGTTGGGGAGAGAGAGAGACAGAGAGAGAATGAGGGTAATCTTGTCTTTTTATTAATACTAACGGTAAAAAAGTCCTTTTTTGGACGGATGGACATTTTGGTTGGAAGGAAACAAACTACAGGGACGTTTTAATTGGTTCTCCAAAATAGAGGGATGGAGTAGTGAATTTGACCAAACCTGAGGGACTAAATAGTACTTTACCCTGGAATTTATTTATAGCAAACAAGCTCCAAGAGAATTTTATCAAGTGTGTATGAGCCAGGAACTTGTTTTGCAGGATTTAAAAAGTAACAATAATAATGGCCATTACCGCAATGCCGTCGTTCCTGTTGTACTTCCCCAAATTTGCTTCAATTTTGTATATTTCATCTTGGTTTTTCATAATAATAACTCGCCGCCATTGTTGATATCATTAGGTGCATTTGTAACAACTTTGTTTGTGTTAATCTTATTGTGGCAATTGTACTTCTGCTAAATTTGCTTCAATTTCATATGTTTCATTATGGTTCTTCATTATAATAACTTGCCACCATTGTTAATATCATTAGTTGCATTAATTTCCAGTTATCCTGGAAAAATTTGATATCTTTATTTCCATCTCAGCAAATATGAAAAAATTTCCATCTCGCAACTTATATATATATATTAAATATTATATAATATATATACTATTATATTATAATACTATATATAATATTGCTACAAAGGGATATATTTGCTACAAGGGATCGTGATGTCTTTCTATATCACTGGTTTATTAATTCTTATTGTGGTGCAACAACTTTGTGTGTGTTAATCTTATCGTGAAATTATATGTACTGAAAATATGTCACATTCCTTGCATGTCTCTGGTTTTAGTCACAGACAGTCATAATAGTTTTATGAATGCAAAGAAATTCTCTTCTTCTCTTGTGAGACTCTTTGTTTCGTCTTCCCTTCTCTATTTTTCTTCTCTCTATCATTCTCTTCATCTGTTTCCCCTCTATCTAGTCTTCTTTTACATTTCCTTCTTTTCATTGATTCTACTCCACAAGATCTGAATATGATTCATGCTGATATGTACATTGTACAAAATTAAACATGCCCAAAGCGAAACACTGCATCCTCTTTTTCCTTCTGTTTCTCCCAGGTTATTGGATCCATATATGGAGTTAGGCTTATTATTGAGACTTTTCCTGAAGTAGGACGTGGGCCACGTTTGAATGTCGACATCCATCGAGGTGCACTCACAGAAGGAGTGCTGACATTTATAATTGTCATTATCTCTCTTGGGCTTGCAAGAAAGATCCCTGGAAGTTTCTTCAGGAAGACTTGGATCTCAAGCATCTCCAAATTAGCTCTTCACATACTTGGATCTGATCTGACTGGTGGTTGCATGAACCCAGCCTCTGTAAGTAGTTCTCACATCATTATCATGTGATGCATTTATCTCATATTTGTTTTAGCTGCCAAAACTTTGGAAATAGAAATAGATGAACTAGAGCGCCTTTTAAATCTATAGGTGATGGGATGGGCTTATGCCCGTGGCGACCATATAACAAAGGAACATATACTTGTATATTGGCTTGCTCCAATTGAGGCAACTCTTCTGGCAGTATGGACATTTAAGTTGCTGGTTCGACCCAAAAAAGAAGAAAAGAAGGAAAAGTCAGAGGGTAAATCAGATTGAAGAAACTCCATTAGTGTAGCTCCATCGATTGGATGATCCAACCTGCAAGATTTGAAGATGGCAAATGTATGTAAAACTTTATGCTATTCATACTTGTGTAAATTTTTTTTAGATCAATCTGTATTCATTGTTCATTGTATCTACATTACACTACCATTTTCGTGTCGGTCAGTCAGCACTCTGTCTCTTACATGCTGTCTTAACTTAGCTAATCAGTTTTGCTTTGGTATTTTGACTAAACTATATTGGTGTAACTGTGTAACTTTGTTTCTATATTTGTGATGTCTTAGCTTTTTTTTTTTTTTTTTGAGAGTGTCTTAGCTTTTTTTTTTTTTTTTGGTGTTTGAGTGAAAAATTGTAATAGCTTGTGAATCTTTTTTTTTTTTTTTTTGGTGTTTGATTAGAAAAAATTTGTAATCTTGTATCTGAACTCTATAGGAAATTGCAAATTAAGTGTGTTCGGCAATTAAATGGACCATTTTACTTGATAAATTAGATCAAACGTAAATAGAAAGGTAATAATCTGTTATGGGATGTAGTAAAATATTTCATATCGATTTTTGGCTACATAATCTTAGTTGTATAAAAATTATTAATTCAGATGTTTAATTGCAAATTTTTCTGTTAGAAAAAAATTGTAAAGTGCAAAACACCATTAATATTGTTTACCCGGTAGAGATTGTCATAAACTAAGGGATTAAAAACAAATATCACATTAATCTTTCAATATGTTATACAATCAAGCTAAAAAATAAATCCATATGACATTTAGTCAAATTATTTACAAGATGTTGAGGCAATTGTGTGTGTATATATATGTGTCTGTGTTTGGTGACCTGTAATCAAATATATTTTCAACGAAATACATTTAATATATTACATGACATTTTATTACATCTCATCAAACATAAGTTGAGGAGCCATAGGACATAAGATGATCTTGGGTAGCCTGGAGGGTAGGAAGCTTTACTCTGGGTGGGTCAGCAGAAGCATAAGATCTCTGAGGACAAAAGACAATAAAAAGACCATTCATGGGATCAATTTCTAGAGTATACAAAAGCTGTCCAGCACCATAGCCCCCAAGAAGTTGGTATGATCTCTCTGATCTATCCATAGCTATACACAGATCATCTGTACCTGAAATTTTGTCAACAAAATAAACAAATATGTATTGTATAGATTGCCCAATTGTTGTGCTTAAGATAAAACTTATTAATAAGAAAAAGTATATTATGTTGAACTTTAAGTTCTAAAAACTTGTAATGTCTCTTCTCATTTGCAAGATTTTTGCAAAACAAATGTAAAAATTTTTGTTCAAACATAAAATAAAATTAAAATAAATTGTCTTGATAAAGGGTGTGTCCTTCTGTCGATTCCCATTTCTTTCAAATAATTTGTCATTCGCCCCTAAAATTATTGTCGTTTTGCTTTGGCAATTTATAGTTCAACATAATAATGTACAATAAAAAGAAAGAACTTTTGAGAAGAGAAGAAGAAATTAGGGATTGGGAAGGAGAGAGATTTTGATTAATTCACATGCCAAACTCATTATAAAATTGAATTAAACTCAATTCAATATTGCATTTGAAATAAAGAATTGGCTCAGGTGACAAAATCCTTTTTATATTTGAATTTCTTGAAACTACAATTGAATAGCTAGTCATTTGAGACAATTTAGTATTTGAAATTTCAGTTCATATTTTGTTTTTATGATTTTACACTTAAACACAAATTCCAATGCTATATCACATATAAATAGACCCTATAATTATTTTTGAAATGCTGTGTTTTTAAGTATTATTATTATTATTATTAATGTAATAAAAAAAAATTTAAAACTAATTTAAGAAAAGAAAAAACTAATTCCACTTACAAGCAGCCAGTTCAATCTGAGTTTGATAAATAAATTCAAGAACAGCAGAAATGTCTTGCTCAAACTGATGAAACGGTCCGCTCTCAAAATTCATCTTTCTAAGCTTACAAACTCCCTCTCCCAGCTCCAGCATTGCTCCTTTATGGTTCTACATATTATGTGCATAAATAGGCTTTATGAGTCTCTGGACTTGCTTGGTTCATAAAATAATACTCAACTTGCAAGAAATTCAACGTTATTCCAAATAAAAATAAAACTAAAATGCTCTACTCTAGTAGATGAAACCTGGTTAAAGAGATGATGAAAGCCAACGGCACATTGCAGAATCCCATGAAGAAGAGTTCTGTTGGGATCTTCAGCTTTGATCCAAAGAGCTTCAAGCAAGTCATGGCACTTGTAGTATTCTCTCCTGTTGAAGAGACCAACTGCTTCATCAAAGCTATATGTATTTTCTTCTTCTTCTGCGCTGTGATTATATCGGCACAGGACGCGAAAACGACTACTAGTTGACTGAAAATTGAGGTGCCGATGAGTCGCAGAATAAGGAAAATTGGTTAATGATAAGTTGTAATTAGGTGAATGGATAATTGTATGTGGAGAAGATGGGGGTATTGATGGCAAGGGAAGGAATTTGAGACCAAATGCCATTGATAATGGTTTTTTAGCAGAGGGACAAACTTTCTCTCCCTCTCTTTTTCAATTTTGGATTTTGTTTTCTTTGTTTGTGTGGCAGAGGTTGAGCTAATAGTAGTCTAAGATCTTAATTATAGGATCAAAACGAAGGAGAAAATTGTTGACCATAATAAAGTAAAACCGACTGGTTTTCGGTTAGATTGGTTTTTAAAAAATTTAATTTAGTTTTGAATTTTATAAAAACAACTAGGTGCTATTTTATTGATTTATATTATTAAATTATATTTTTTAATAGTATAATTTAACAATGATATAAAAATATAAAATTTTCTATTATATATTGAAAGTGTATTATCCATATATAGGGGATCATTTAACTAAGAAGAGGACTGAAACAACTCAGAATTTTATTTTCAAAAATTTATCATTTAAAAAATTTTAATAAATTAACCCCCTATGAATTTATTTAATCAGTTGTATGTACACGTATAATTTATATAGTTGAACCAAACCTACAATTAAATGAAAACCCCAATAAAACTGATTGGAAGTTGAAAACCATACAAAAATCACGATTTGGACCAAACCAAACAAATCAAACCAAATCAGTCAAAAACCTAACCTAAACTGTAACAGACTGATTTTTCTTTTAGTGTCGGTAATAGTGATTTACCGGTCTGTGAATAGTACCATCGGTCCGGGACTTGGTATTATTTTAGTTCCGGGACTTTGTATTACTTTTAGTCACGGAAAAAATTTACTATGCATAGATTCAATATTTTATTACTATATTTGGAGCATGTTTGCACTGATTTAGGTGGATAGAAAATATTACTGAAGTATTTTTGAAAGTTCTATTTATTAAATGCATCAATATTTCCTAGTGTGTATATTAAGAATAAGAAATAAATGAGGAATTATTTTAGTGGAGTTCATTTAATTAATTGGTGGAGTTAAATAAGAAGTAGAAGAGATTTATTTGAGGAATATTTAGAACCATTGGATGAGATTACTTAGGACTTGATCTTAGCCACACATTTGGCATGAAAATTGGAAGTCAAATTTGACTTTGGCACTTAAAGTAACACCACAACATTTTTTTTCTTTCTTCTCTTCTCTTCTCCACGCCATTTCTATCTTCTTCCTTCTTCTTTCATTTCTTCATTTTCTTACCTCCAAATTTACCACCAAACTACCTAATTAAACCATAGAATAGGACTTAATTCTTAAGAATTAAGTAGTAAAGTAGAAGTGAGTTGGTGATTAAAAGCAAAGAGTAAGTGAAGTTTACCATTGAAGCAAGTAAAGTTTGTGTTTTTTGAGTGGTTTTGTGGAATTGTTAAGTTAGAATTCAATGGTTTTAGAAACATCGTTATTTGATGCATTAAATCATGCTCCAACATTTCTTTTGTCAAAGTTTTGCTTGTAATTGTTGATTTCATTGCTTTGAAGAGGTTGGCAGGAGCCATCCTTCAAGGGGAAGAGAGAAAGCCAACGGAGTAGGTCTTTCCAAGCTCTATTCCAAGCTGTTAATAAGGTTGTGCAATCATAATTTCACTTGTTTAAGTTGTTTTACATGTTTAGGTTTTGAATATATTTTGTAGGAACTTTGTATGTTTTGTTGAAATGCTGACTTTAATGGAGCATGTGTCTTGGTGGGATTTGGGTGAGAAACTCATTTTTCGGACCCCTTTACGCTTCCCATCTGTTTCTCGACTTCTTCATGAACGTCATCAACATGTAGTCTATTTCTCCGCTTTCAAAAGTATCTTTGTCTTATTCCCAATACTTTGAGCCAACTTATGATTTAAATACCAAAATGGTTCTGTTCATGCATGTCTTTACCTGTCTATCCGAAATGATTGTCCATTTTTGACCACATCAAATGGCAAAATATGTCTTATGTTCTTCATTAAAGTTATAAGCTTATTACTTCTTATCTTTTCCAACCCATCCTCTTGCTGTCCAATATGGAGATAGAAGTCACCTTAATGGACTGAAACACCAAAGACTCTGTTGTGTCGGGCCACATGCATACTAAAATATCGAGTGCCCATTTTTAACCCACTATAATATAAATTAGTCATCTGAGTTCTTCTAAAAGTTGTTTCCCGTGTTCTTGAGGAATTCTTCTCCGTTCTGGATCGGTTTTCATTTGAAGTGTTTGGTGAAAGATAGCAATTCAACGAAACATTGCGATTGCGTTCTTGCTGAAATTCAGGTACTCTGTCTGTTAGTCTTGTATTCTAGCTTTCTGAATCAGGTCTGATCTGTTGGTCTGTGTTCTGAGCTTTTGTTTGTTATCTTACTCTGTGATCTGGGCTGTGGTCCCTTCTGAACATTTGTAGCCATTTGTCTTAGATTTCTAATGAATCTGATTTCATTCAATTTGAAGACCCATAACTCAAATTATGTGTTAAAAATCCAGCAGAGGTCAAGTTTTGGAAATGCTGAAAAGTTCTTCATTTATGTACTTTTATACTATATTAAGTATATATACATTTATAGTGTTTTGAGTAAAACTTTTGAACTGATGAGTACTAAATGAAGAGGTTTTGTTGATTAAGAATTATTGCTTTTGTGAAAGATTGATTTTGATTTGGGCTCTACTATGCATGATTGAGACGTGGTATGATGAGATGGATTTTGTTATTGTGAAGCTATGATCATATGCTAGGGTTATCAGCCGGGTTATCATCCCTTACAAATAGGCGGACGCGCTTATTTGTGTGATGGGGTGGTGCTTTCATAGGCCACGATTGTGCGATGGGGGTGGCGCTAATATAGGCCACGATCATTTCATAGGCCACGGTGGTGCTGTATCTAGGCCACGACTTATGTGATTGGGGTGGCCGCTAACTATAGCCCGATCAAATCTGTATGTTCATTCTGCATGAGTTACCGACGCCTTAACAAATTTATTACTCTTGCATTTCTTCAAGATTGACGGAAAATTTAGAAATAAATTTATGTATTAAGCAGTTAACAAAATACAAAGTTCTATATGCATATATGCATATCTTTTACCATATTTATTTATTTATTACTCTTGCATTTCTTCAAGATTGCTGCATTTATTAGTGATTAGTTCATTTCTTAAATATTGTGCTTATAAGGATTTTTTTCTTTTTTTATCACGCGCAGGTTAGGAGCGGAGGGTGTTCTTCAAGACCAGAGGACAAGCATCAGAGTAGAGATCACATTTTGGGTAGGATATTTTGTTTTGAAATGGTGATTTTTGGGACATAGTGACTATTAAGATTGTATTATGGAGGTTGTACTACTTAATAACGTTTTATAATGTAGTAAGAGTTTGATTATTGAAGAAATTAACATATTATATAGTTTTGGTGTATGCATGATCTATATATTCCTGAAAGGAATGTGTTTAGACTAATACGTATATGATGCGTATGTTGCATGGATATTTAGATAAGTGTTGTGGTATGTTATTGTTGAATTGGAGTTTCTGGGTTTGGAAAAATTGAGTGATGTTATATTTTCTTTGAGTGTGGCAAGTTATTTTTTGGGAAACTCTTGCGAAATTTTCGGTTAGGGAATTTCCTTAAATATTTATTTTCGTTAACAAAAAAAAAATAAAAATAAAAAACAAAAACAAAATCGTTAATTACTTGACTTCTTATGCAAAATTATAAACCACTTCTAAATTTGTCAGATACTAGTCTTTAATACAGTGACATAAGACGGATGCTCGGCACCGATTGTGGCATCCGCCCGTTTCGGGATCTTTCTTCGGGATTGGCCGGTGGGTGTTAACAAAACTATTCTTAGGCTTTAATAAGTGACATAAGACGGTGCTCCGGCACCGATTGTGGCATCCGCCGTCTGGTTCTTCGGGATTGGCCGGTGGGTGTTACATAAACTATTCTAGAAACCCCCCTATCCCCTTCAGCACCCTCCCCCTCTTCTCCTTTCATTTTTCCGACCAACAGAGCGCCTCCGCCACCACTCCCTGCCGCCGTCGCCTCCTCACCGCGCATCTCCAGCCTCTCCTTCCCTCTATTCCTTCGTTTCCGGGGAATGCAGCGTTGCAGGAGCTGCGACTTTGCCTCGATCAGGAAGTCGCGTCGCAGCTGTCTCCTCGATTTTCCGGCGACACCAGCCCATATCCGGCCAACCACCTCGTCTCCAGCACCCCTCAAACGCTGTTGCTCCACCTCTGGTCACTGGTAGGTCGCGGTTTAGTGAGAAAGATGAAGGAGAGTGAGTAGCCTCCTTCAATACTTCTCGTTCCATTTTCCGGGGAGCCCAGCCAAGGACCCGCTGGACTACGCTCTCTCCTCGCCTTCAGCGTGCCTCCGGCCACCTTTCCACCCATTTCCGGTCAAGTAAGCGGTGGCAGCGATTGTGTTGGTGCCTTGTTGCTACTGCCGGTCATTTAACTGGAAAATTTCAATTTCCAGCCCGTTTTGCAACTAAGTAAACCATATTATGGCCCTCTTAAATTTAATTCATTGAGTTCTTTGATCTTAGTTGAAGGATTTGAGGAATGTAATTGAGCTATTGCAGAAATTTGGAAATTCGGTTACCATTTATATGAATATGATTAGAAATTTCAATCTTTGCTCTTTAAATAGGTATACAATCTGAATTCTTTTATAGAAATAGGTAGATTATCTGCTTAAACTATAAATGTTTACAAAGAAATCAAGGATCTTTTATTTATGGCAGCAACTACCTTAATTATTTATATGAGTTCTATCTTTTTTTAGGAGGAATGGTACTATACAAATGATTATGTTAAGAATGAATTGATTATAGAGTGAAACATGAGTTTTGGTGGAAAACTCGAAGTTTTGTATAGTGGTAGCCGTAAAAAGGGATGGTTATTATGTTGGTTCAGAGAAAGTAAAACAAGTATGAAGCTTACGTTTGGATTATCATATATATAATTTCAATATTATATATTATATATCTTAATATAATTTATTATTCTATTATATAATTATATTATATAAGTGATATAGTGGTTAAGCTTAAGATATTTAAGCGCGCAGGTGTTTAAGATATTGGTATTAGATTTGTGTATATTATATATTTATAAAGTTTTATTTTTTGGTGAGTTAACTAAGAAGTAAATTATCTTGATGTAAGG